CGCCTCGACGGCCGGAACCGTAATATCCCCCAATAACAACGCAGTCAAGAGACTCTCCAAACTCTGTCATATAATCAGGTTTCACCTTCATCCAATCATCATGGCGCTCGTTTAGTCGGTAAGGGGAGTTGGGGTTCTTCAGGACAAGACCTTCAGATGCTTCAGCAACAACTTTCCGAAGCAGAGGTTCGATATCAGCTGTGCTGCGGCCTATTTCATAGGTGTGTATTTCAAAACGACGATGAACTGGAATGACACTTGCTTCAAGGGCTCTTCTGCGGTCCCGTAGAATGTATCTTGTGAGGGCTCGACCATTCAGATATAGAATATCAAATATGCGAAATAATGGTCTCTGTCCTGTCGAGAAGGGATTCCTTTGTTCCGCCAGTGCGGCAGTCTTAAGAGTGCCAAACGGAACAATCGCATCATGCTCCGGATCCCATGTGATCATCTCTCCATCTAGAATGATGCTTTGGACTCCATCAGCGAACGCGTTCTGAAGGTGTCTCGTGAGAGCACCATTCTCGTCAAACAATCCATTTCCGTACAAATATGTGTACTCTTTTGCCTTCCGAGACCAAAAGGCAAACCTCTTCCCTCCGGGTATTGAGTCGTCTGTTTGCATGTGAAGCTGCATACGTTCTCCGTCTAATTTTTCTTCAATCCAAAATGTCGGATCGTCCTCAGCTAGACTCATCCTCTGAATCATGCGGTCAAACGACTGCACTTGAAACTGCGCGAGCTGCGGTTGAAAACATTGCATCAGCGTGACTTTAGCCTCATCCCCTTCAAGACGGACATTCGGATTATATAGCTCCCAGCAAACTCGCCGGAGACTGCTAGAAATGCTAAACAATGCTTCTGCATCGGGATGCCACAAATTGAAGAGCGTCCGTTCTGTGGCACCAACTTTCATTTGCCTCAAAATAATCCGGATAAGCCACATCAACTCCTCGGGATTCATCCTTCTATAAAAATATTCAAGAATTGGGACCTGTTCATCCTCTTTCGAAGCTGCAGAAAGTTTATCCAGTTGTTCGTTAACTTCCTCGATTGTCATGTCGCCCACCTCAGTCCTCATCGGCCGCTTTGAAATGATTTCGAAACAACGACCCGCAAAATCACCCGCCATTCTGCTTGCAAAAGTCTGCCCGGGTACTTTCCAGTTCAACAAACTAAACCCGTCTTCAGAGTTCTTATCAATTTTCATAACTTTCACTAACAGTTTCCCAATGGCTTTCTCCTTCAATCCATACATCGCCCTGTCCCGATCTTTCCCTGGAATGATCAATCGAAAGGCAGGGAATACATCATTCCCTACTTCCTTTCGCCACCGCGAAATAAATCGCTGAATGATGTCTCTTCGCAACTCTTGGGGGCTAAGATGGACGGCTGCACCAAGTCCATGTGGTCCCACTTTCCTTCGAGCAACTGCTGGTCCGGTTGGACGCTTTTTGTTCTCATTAAGAGGGTTAAATAGAGTCAGAAATAAGTCATGGAAAGGCAGAGTGGGAGAGTGGTTCCGAGGGCGATTCGGATATCTGGGGAAAATGTTAGGCAATTTAGCCAGGTATAACTATATAACCAACTAGTTAACTATTTGTATATGGAAAAAGGAGTTTACTTCTCGTCAAGGTCAGCTTCAGTGTCAGCTACCCGTCGCACATCATCTACTTCATTTCCCCCATCCGAATCCATTTGTAGACAATTAAGGAAATGCAATCCACTTGGTTTTCAATGAACATATCTTTGTCAGGTCGACAATGGAGTGGTGTCACTTTATATAACCCTGCGCGAGTTTCTAGGCAGCACATCACGAAGGTTGCGCAAATGCACGTGACCTGACGTCATGCTCTTGTATTTAAGAAACCCCGGATGGATTCAGAGGACCAAATTTCCAACACACACATATATAATCTGACACTGGTGCCCGAGGTAAAGTGTGCAGCATTAAGGAAATATAGTTTGAGAAACTTTTACAGCTTCGCAATAGGGTTATTTCTTGCGTGCTCCAGCTCTCTTAATTTTTTTTTATTCACTCAATGCTGATATTTTGCGAAGCCTCCGTTATACCGCCCAACATCCTGATTAGTTGCAGCGAAAATGGAGGAGGTGAATTAAATATAATTGAGAGAGTGAGTACTGAATAACCGAAATAGACTGATATAAGCCTGATATCGTGTCCGAATACTCAGACAACTCCATGTCGTAGATTTTCTTGTAACTAGCTAACTATTAACTAACTAGTTAGTTAACTAGTTAACGGTTGGTTACTAAGAATGGGCTCCGTTAACTTAACTAGTTAGCGGAATGGAGCCGCCACAGGGCTAACACACCAACGCCCAAACCACCAACCACCAGGCATCCAAGCCTCAAACTTGCAGCACACCCATAGTGACCACTTCACACCTCGCCTCGATGGTATGGTGCCCTTTGAAACACCTCTTGGGTATCCTTTAGTTTCACGTATAAAATGTTTCCCACTTTAAGCCGGGAAAGTTTCTCCATTTAAGGGAATCTAATGTCAAACACGACAATCATTTTTTGATGACAACGTGAACTAGATTACATGCGCGAACAGAGAAGGCGACGAAATATCAAACAATGATAGGCCAGTAGAGGTGCATTCGAATTCTGGAATATTTCTTGGAGAAACGTATCAAGTACGACTACAAATCATATTCCCTAATGACAGACGATCCAAACCGAAACTCCGGTCAGAGAGCAAGATCTCAAAGACCAAAGCCACGAGTCCCATCAAAATCCCATGTTCAATCCGCAGCTCTCCTTGGAGCATCACTAGCCTTCGATGGACAAGGAGCGAATAAATCCACTGCCGCTCAACCTCCCAACAGCCCAAGGAATCCAAGAAGCCTTGCCACAATGCGAGCAGTTAACCATAGATTCGAACCCGAAGACGATGAACCCGTGGAGCAGGATACCCCTTCCAACAGTTCTGCAGGGATAGTAGAAGACAGGATTAAGCTCTTTACTGAAACTCACGGTCCTACGGCATCACAGGCTACATCTAGCCGTGGTGCAAACGTGCCCCGTCCAGGAATGGCTAACCCCCAGCAGATGGCTGCGCAGCTGGCCGTGGGAAGATCCGCAGTAGGAAAATTATCGACACCGTCAATTAAAGAAAGCGGAGGAGTTAGTTCACTAGGCCAGAAAACTGATCAAGAACCAGGTCACCATGATCGTATCCCCTCCCCCAGTGCATCCTTAGATCTGGTAAGACGGAATACTGCTGAATCAATGTCAAACCTTGATGTGATTCTGGACAGGCCGTTTGCAGATCCTCGCGTTAGTCGGGCTGTTGATTCCAAGCTGTCGGGTACATCGTCAAGGAATGAGCGCACAGGCTCCTCCCTATCTTCCAGTTCTTTCACTCGGGAGATGCCACACACACCTCCCGCAGAACACCAAAGGAAGCCTTCTTCTCCACAAGACAAACTAGGTCCACCATTACCACCAAGGTTGCCTGCGATTTCAATAAATAAGCCTCACCCATCTCAGCAGGCTATTCCTGCGAAAAATCAAATTAGGATGTCTACAACTACTGAGGATAAATCAAGTTCTCTATTGCAAAGCATTCCCACGAACAACTCTATCGCCACAACAAGGTCCACGAATATCCAAACTACGACACCAAATACTAAGGCTCCACCACCTCAAATACTCCATTCCTTGCCTTCCCGATCCAGTTTACTACCGCAACACTCAGGAGTGTCAGACAACTCATTGGCCGGGGCGCTAGCGGCTTCGTCAAAGGCTTCATCAAGAGCCCCATCTCCGGCCAAAAGGAATCCTCCACCGCCTCCACCGCCTCAGAGAGGCTCACGCTTTCGTTCCTCGCTAAACCCAGTACATAACATTCCAAAGGGTGCCTCCCGAACACCTAGTCCGCCTAAAGTAATAAGACAAACAATGCGTCAAGATCCCAAAACCGATGACGAAGCCGAACGACGGAAAAAGTTCCAGCGGAACCGTATCATCAAAACCCATCCAAACAAGCATCGCGAGGGCGATCGAAAACGTTGGCGGGACCGAGTTACTGAACGGGAACGGAAACGGTATGAGGGGGTATGGGCTGCTAACAAAGGCCTGCTGATAAATGAGATCCCCCGGCAGGGGAGTTCTAGCCCATCCCCACAAGATATGGTATTGAATCTCGTGGTACGGGATATATGGACTCGTAGTCGACTGCAGCTCAGCACACTCGAGCACATTTGGAACCTTGTTAGCCACGAAAATAGGAGAATGCTCACTCGTCAGGAATTTGTGGTGGGGATGTGGTTGATCGACCAGTGCTTGAAGGGACGAAAGCCTCCAGTGAAGGTTTCGCAGAGTGTATGGGATAGTGTGCAGCAGCTACCCGGCGTCCAAGGCCCCCATCCAGGTCCTCCGTAGTCAGAAGGTAAATCCGGATATCCAACACGGATTCATACTTTGTGTCGGATGCCAAACCCCCAAATACATGCATAAGTGTGTCAGCTGTTTGCTTGAATTTTTTTTTTAAAAAAAAAAAAAAAATTAGTTACATATCAGTTATTTATTTATTTTAAATCAATATACACCATATCCTAGAATCTTGGTAGTTCTTTCCAGCCACTTTCTTTGATATGTTATTTACCAGGGCATGTTGTCATCGAGATCGACATGCTTCTCGATACATATATTAATTTAATACCGCGCAAATTAACCCCAGCGTCTTGGCGCCGATGAATAAGCGCCCAGGCTTTGTTGCTCGATCACTTGAAGATTCTACGGACCACTGGAGAGCTTTTATGTGGCTATAGTTACATCGTTCATTTGTTGTTCTGGTCTATGTTGTGATCGTCAGAGTGCAGCAGAGCTCATAACAGCGGAGGCTTACTGTTAAACATTGATTTGGCGCACTTTTCCGGGAGAGCGGGAGCCGCAATCTCCTGGTCTTGTCTTCAACCTCCAGGCCCACAATCCTGGACGGTAGACGGAACCCGGCCAAAAGGACCAAGATGGCTTCCCTCCAAGATAGCCAGAATAATAGCCAGACGCAATTTGAAAATATCCAAAAACAAACGGCGCGCAAAAAGTTTGCAAAACCCCCTGTCAAAGTAGCTTGTCTATCTTGGTGAGTGAATTCCAACGATTTAACGTAACTACCACCAACAACCGGATGTTTGCTTTTTCTTTTTTCGGCATTCCCACCCACACTTTGACCTGGACTTTCTTGAGTAACATCAGTTCCCATTTAGTCGCGCGTCCAGGATAAGGTGCGATGGGAAAGCGACCTGTTCAGGGGTACGTGAATGACCCACCTGTCTAGTCTAAATGATGTGGAGAAAACTAGAAAACAAGAAAAAGAAGAAGAAGAAGAAGAAGAAATTTGATCCATGTGCTGAGAGTCAGGATTTGAAACTCAGTGCGCCAGCAAGGGAAAGGAATGTAGCTATCTCCCTAGCAAACGGGGAGGCCCACGGAAGAAAAGAGTAGGACAACCTTCAACCTTAGGCATAGAATCCTACGACAAATCGTGGCCTTCAAATTTCCCTCGCCTCCATGAAGGTAATCTATCAACTCTCTGATTTCGATTAACTTGCACGCTTAAGAAAGAAAGAAAAAGATTATTTATGGCCTGTCTACCTAGCAGTGTTTAACCAATTCGACTCGATTGCCGTTCCGGGAGCTGGAATCAGACAGCTTGACTTTCCCACCGATGTTCAGTCCATGTTTGAAGACTTATTTGTGCCTCCGAATGTAGATGCTTCACGTACTCTGCTGGGCGCCCCACCTGCTCTCATTCATTTACCCAACTCGGATCCTCCACGGGTAAGGTTATACGGTAGTGAAGCTGAGATGTGAGTTACTTGGCCAACTTGGTCATTCTAGATGATGAGGATGGCAGATGATCCATTTATCATCCTACAGAAACTTTGTTGGATTCCTGCTAAGATTCCCTCCCAGATTAAATGGATATTACATATTCATTCATCAATATTTTCCAATATTCCCGCCTTCACATACCCCCATCACGGCGGACCGGCCCTTAGCTTCTCCAGGGAAAGTTTCAAACCCGAAATCCACCACCGAGACACCTTTGAGCTACACCCCGAGATCGCCCATCACGTTAGCAATATCAGCAATACTGGCACTTGTACCCCATCCAAAGGACCCAAACCCATCCTCTCCACAGTCAGTGGAACTTCGAAGGTTCTATGCTCAATTGTTCTCGCAAGCAGCTTTTGAAAGTGTTGAGAGTGAATCTGAACTTGCGGAATCCAGCGCCAGTCCTTCGCAGGCCCTCCTTAATGAAAATCCTATTCCTAAACGATCAGTAGTTCACCCTCACGTCCCCGTCGAACTAGAAGCCATTCTAGCACTTCTAGTTCTTAGTGTTTATGAATATGGGCAGCGAGGAAATCTAGCCAAGATGCGTAATCGTGCAGGCCAGGCTTACGTTATGGCGATGAATATGTCACTGCATGCTTTGCCACCAAAAGATAACATTTTCGCTGAAGCAAAACGGCGAGCTTGGTGGATGACGGTTTGTAACACCTACCCTCATACATAGCATTTTTGGCAATCAGCTACTAATATCCGCCATAGTATTACTCCGTTTGTCAAGGTTCAATCGTGAGCACGACTGTAAGTTTTTAACCAGAGAATAGGAAAACCTTCGAACGCTATAGCTGAGATGTATCTTTTGATAAAAGCCTCCTACAATCATTGGCGACGACAGACGTTTTGTTACCCCCTATCCACGCTTTGCTTCGGATCCGGATGTAAGTTGGTTTTCTATACCCATACATGCTCATATTGATCTGTTTTATAGGGCTGGTCAATCCTCCTACGAACCCAGCACGCTCTTCTTACTGCAACTCAATTCGTCATTGAGCTCAATCAAACTCTAAAGTCCAAAAGCAATATGTCGTATGTCTACAGGCGGATGAAAGAGCTTGACACTTGGATTCGGCCCGTTTTGGAGCAGGCCAACGCTCCTCCGTCTATGTCTTCTGTGGGAGATATGAACGACTCAGAGGCAGTAACTGCCCAAAGCATCCGAAAGATATCGCTTATCAAGCTTTCCAGGTAAGAATTCCGAACTTCATTTTCTCTCCTCATACATATGTATAGAAAGCACGTTTTGACATTAGCAGCGCACATATCAAAACCCACCGTTTCCGAGCATTCTTAGACATTCCGATTTTCCTTAAGAAATACTGTGATCTTACCTGCGCAAGTTTAGGTTATCCAGGGACGGGATCCGATACACAAGAAAACTCGAGATTTTCTTGTTGTACCAGCCTGTCGGATGCTCCAGCAGCCCCTCCAGGAGGCCAATCACTACCACCTTGCTCTCCAGATTCTGACGCATCCGGCGCCACTACCTCATCCTCTTCCTGGATCATCGACGATGCATTTCCATTCACAAACCAAGAGTCAACCGTGATATGTCTAAACTCCTCTCTCAGAATCGCTCAAATGTTCCACAGCCTTCCTTACCCAAGACCAAGATATGGTGATATCACTCCAGAGAATAATGCTCCATCGCCCTCAGATGATGCCATTCCAGCTCTTCCGCGGACCATGCCATCATTTGCCTGCTGTGCAATGCAAAGTAGCTATGCGATGCTCATGCTTTATTATAAATTACGGACCTCAGACCAGGCCGGTACCGCTCCACACAACCCACTCAACACTTCCATAGAATTAGTGAGGAAGCTCAAGTACGGTTTGGAAAGTGTGATTGGTGCTGTTAGAAATTATTCAATTGCATTTGAAGCACTAGACGGAATGAGAGGTAAGTTGAACTCTTAGAAAATCCTTTGCTTATGCCAAGAACTTAATCCTTGCTGTTGTAATTTGTTCCATTAGAAGAAATCGAGGGAGCCTACATGACAGCTTTTCCGCAGCCATAATCACCAATTTTGAACGTTCCACGATCGATGTTGTTCACCTCGACTCTGCTCTCCTACGCCTCATTAAACCCTCAGCGAGCAACATGTTTGAAAGACCGATTCGTTTCCCTAGACCAGTTATTTTGACAAGCGAGCCTTGAACGGCTTCTATTCTACGGGTTTCTTTCGCGCTCCCTTTTCCCTTTTCATCAACCGGATCTTAATGACATCACGATATGCTTTCGTTTGCTTTCTCACTTCACTTGCTATCACACATACATATATCCTACCACATATATAGCCATTTTCCGATCTTTTCTGACATATTTGAGTCTGAAAGCTACCGGATTCTTTTTATCCTTTGAAATCAAGTCAATACATTCATTCACATTCCGTGTGTAGCCACATCTCTCTGCTGTGCATTGCCTTTTCGTCTCATACGTATATCCAGTGAAACAACGGCATCGAATTAAATGTGAGATACGCATGAGTGTCGTACTCTTTCATTTCTCGGGTTTTGGACATTCTCCTTATATCTTTCGTTCAATACACTTTTCAAGTCGCCTACGACGTTTTATTAGCAGCAATACATACGAATATTTCTTGGTATTTGGTTAGTTTTCACTGCTATCAAGTTAATTAATATGTAACGCCACGACCAGACTCCTTCGTCCGACGAGCATAGTTTACTAGATAGAAACAATCCTCCACATTGACACAATACTAATAAGCAGATAGGATCGATCTATAACATCGCTAAATGCAACAAGGAAACATGAAAAGGGAGAAAAAGAAAGCATCACGTAACTCCAGAAAAAAAGGCCATCTCAAAGCTTCGATCTAATGCCTTCAAGACGAAACTTGACATCTTTCAGCACCTTGCTGGTAGGTTTCCAATCATCAAAGAGTCTTAGGAGCTCCGCGGTCTCCTTAGACAATTCGCGTCGCACGTATTCTTCTTCAAGGACGCCCCGCATTGCGAACGGGAGTATGTATGGATTTGGAGTTTGTGAACGATGGAATTGTTTTATTTCGAGTTTGGCGTTGGCAACTGGAAGTGTTTCGAGGGTATATTCGACAGCGAGACTACAGCAAAGGAGGTTTTATCAATCAGTAAATCCCAAGTAAATCTCACATAGTCTTTTTTGGGGGATGATTGCTTACAGGTAAACTGTCTCGTCGTCATATAAACGGGAGTGCCCTTCGCCAGAATATAAACTCCCAGCAAGAGGAGAGCTAAGCTCCCGGATGAGTCCGTGGTCGGATATTCCTAAGTTGCGCAGCTTCATTGCGAAGCCCACGAGGTGTGACAAACTGGATGAAGTGGGCGTGTTAGTGACTTTTGTTTTTGCATAAGGGGTATTTAAGGAATAACTTACAAGCTTGGTGCATGGAACCTACCATCCACAAAGACGGCTCTATATATGTGAGGATGGGAAACGGAGGCAAACGTAGATGACTAGGAGAATAAAGGCTCAGCGGTCCACCTCACAAATTATAGAAATGTTTCTCAAGCACATACCTCCAATGAAACCAATTGATCATCTATGCTCCCCACATACACTAACCTCACGCCAAAGTCAAGTGCTGCTTCAAGTGCTGCGATGTGGTCCCGCGAGACTTTGCTATTCGGATTAGCAAAATCAAATAATTCACCAGCTGATCCACTAATCCAGCGGGATCGATAATCTGGAAATGGCCCCAGATTGACACCTGCCATCGCACATATACCAATACGGGCCGAGTTCACACAACCAAACGCTATCAATTTCGCAACCAACATGGTTGCAACTGGAACACCCTGGCTATGGCAGGCTACCATGATGAAATCGGCTTTCTTGATGCCTTCGATGTAGTCGAGGAGCAACTTCCAGAGTAGATCCACTCGTTCTGAAATGCGCCCTTCACCTTCAAGTGCTATTTTCTGTATTTCACAGGAGTAACTACGAGATTCAGCCCATGAAGAAATGGCCTTAGCTGCTAGAGTTGAAAATTTGACGGAGGTTCCTGTTGGCTGGCCGAGCACCGTGCGAATTAACGGAGCAGGGAAGTATCCATGCACCCCTATTGCGAGAGCACGTTTGATACGAGGTGGGTCAGTTGTGCGTGTTACATGGCAGTGCTCAGTGTTCCTAGTATAGTATAGTAGACGACCAAGCTGCTGAATAATACCGGGCTTCTGTTGGATGGGGAAGTTGTCCCTAAATGTCGGAAGCACCTGATTGGGACACGCAATTTTAGCCGTTGAGGTACTGCCCAATTTGTCTTTAGTTGGACCAGTAGACTTTTTAGTGATATTTTTGGATGGCCCGTCAGATGTTATGGATTCAACTTTGGGCTGTTCACGTTGGCTAACTGTGGCTACAGACCCTGGTTCCGGTTTCGATACTTCAATCGACGCCGATGCTTTATTTTGAGAACGGGTTGAATCCTCTGCTGTCTCTAGCCGTGGGGCACTTTGTTCAACATGCACTGTCGAGGTCTCTCGATACCAAAAGAGCCAACTAGATGATTTCGTTGTGTTGGTAGGTGCATTGGTCAAATCGGCATCCTGGGATGGTGTATCGGCAATGTCGGCTTGGGGATCTATAGCATCATTCTTTGCAGTAGAGTCTTGAACACCCGCACATTCTTCGCACTCCTGCACACCATCCAAGTCGTTTTTCGGCTGGGGAGGAGCAGGACATCCACCCCACATAAACGGCCATGATCTCTTTTTATGATTGGGTGCTCCGGAAGAGGTAGAATGGGCATCGATTTGGGTTGCAGGCATTTCCGTATCCTTTTGTTCCGGCTCTTCCTCCGCTTCCTCCTCTTCTTCTTCTTGACTTGACGATCTAGGCGCTTGCGATACTACCTCACTAGGTAGCTCTATTTGATCTATTTTGGAAGTGGATTCAACCCCAGTCTTTATGAGCGGAAGCCAGCTAAGCCAACCTGAGGCTTGATTTGACTGACTTTCTTGTTCTTTTTTCCCAGGACCATTCCGATCTGGAAGGATATCACCCACCATCCTCTGGCCAAGTTCCTTTACACTCAGGCTGTTTCCAGAATTTTTCGGCAGTATAGGAGGGGTCGAGTCATCTTTGATGCCATCCTTTTTGCATACATCAATAGTTTTGTCAGATATCTGCATATTAGAAACGGCGGAGGAGCTAATTGAAGCAATATTGATTCGTGTGGTAGCTACTTCTGCCGGCAACGACCTCATAGACCCTCCAACCTTCTTCGTAAGTCCGATAGAGGGCGATCGGACGGACCTAGCTTGGCTAAAAAGCGTTGTAGTCGACTGTTTGCGTTCTAATGTCCGGGGTCCTTCTGCAGAAATGCTCTCACGCGCAACTTCGGTCACCGCTGGAGCCTTAGATTTGCTAGGCCAAGGTTGAATATACCAGCTCTAATATTAGGCATCTCATATCAGCTAAAGAGATCTTTAATATAAAGGGGGTAGGTATATGGGCTTCCTACCGCAGGATTCTCCCTTGGCTTGTATGGAGTCCCCGTATCTGTGGCAATTCCCGGGTTCATGCCAGCATTCAGCAAGGCATGCACTGGCTCTGCGTTCTGGTTGGGAACATTTGGATTCACCCGCTTTCGCAATTCCGCGGGAGCCATAGATAAGAAAAAGAAGGCATAACACTGGGGAAAGCTATATGGTATGAGCAACGTCGGAGAGGTTGATACAAATAAGGGTGAGTTGGAGTTGAAGTTGGAGAAAGATAATAGAGAAGAATAGCAGCAGTAGTAATAGCCGTCGTCTCGCTGTCCGTTGATGTTGTGCAAGTGTCGGTGTTTGTTTGCCTTGGGCATTTTGATACAAGATGACGTAAGGCAACTCTTATCCCGTGATCCAGATCTGGCTGTGGACTTGACTGGCCTTGGCTGCCACCGCCTCGTGGGGGCAAAAAAAAAATATATATATATATATATATATACATCCGAACAACAGCGGCAGAAAAGAAGAGCAGAAGAAGAGCAGAGTGAAGGTGAAGACAACTTCGGAGGAAACTGGATTGCAACAATTAATCTGTTCATCTGGGTTAATTCGGTGGGATGAATTTTGCTGTCTTTCTTTAGCTCATATATTACTGGTCTGATTGATCAATTCAACCCGGTTAAGCCATGGCCATCCAGAAAAAGGTAATTACCTGATGCCAACAGATACCCTTTGTCGCGTTCTAACAGTGGCTATTAGCATGGCAAAGGCCGTTTGGATAAATGGTATAAGCTGGCGAAGGAGAAGGGCTACAGAGCTCGTGCTGCCTTCAAGTTGATCCAGCTTAATAAAAAGTACGGCTTCCTAGAGAAGAGCAAAGTACTCCTTGATCTTTGTGCTGCCCCCGGAGTAAGCTATTGAAATCAGTTTTGCCCCTCCTTCCCTACTGATAACCATATTCTGACGCATAGATCTTGGTCATATAGTCTTGGTGTCAAGTTGCTGCGGAATGCATGCCCTCGCAGTCTCTCATCGTCGGTGTCGACCTCGCCCCGATTAAACCAATTCCCAAAGTCATTACTTTCCAGAGCGACATTACAACAGACAAGTGCCGGGCCACAATTAGACAACATTTCAAGTCCTGGAAGGCAGACACTGTTCTTCATGACGGTGCGCCAAACGTCGGTGTAGCTTGGGTGCAAGATGCTTTCTCACAGGCAGAGCTGGTGCTTCAGTCTTTAAAGTTGGCGACCGAATTTTTGACCCCAGGAGGAACATTTGTTACCAAGGTGTTCAGATCGAAAGATTACAATCCCTTGCTGTGGGTATTTAAACAGCTATTTGCGACTGTGAAGGCCACAAAGCCCCCTTCCTCGCGAAATGTTTCTGCTGAAATTTTTGTCGTCTGCTTGGGTTTCAAGGCTCCAAAACACATCGACCCGAAGTTCCTTGATGCGAAACATGTCTTCGCTGAATTACAGGACCCTACTCCAAATTACGAAGCAAAAGTGTTTAATCCGGAGAAAAAGAAGCGGAAGAGAGACGGTTATGAGGAAGGAAATTATATACAATTCAAAGAAATCCCCGTCAGCGAGTTCATAAACACTACCGATCCAATCTCCATTTTAGGAGAATACAACAAATTGAGTTTTGAACAGTCTTCAGGTGCAGATCTTGCTTTGGCAACCCTTAAGCGGCTTCCCGAAACAACGAAGGAAATTCGATTATGTTGCGAGGATCTCAAAGTTCTGGGAAAGAAAGAGTTTCGTAATCTATTGAGATGGCGAATAAAGGTACGGGAAAAGTTTGGCTTAGCTGTGAAGAAAGGGTCTAGTAAACCAGTCGAGAGCGAAGAGGTGGCTGAGGTAGAGCCAATGGGTGAGGAGCTGGCAATTCAGGAGGATCTCCGTCACTTGCGCGAGAAAGAGACATCGAGGAAAAAGAGAGAACGGCGCAAGGAAAATGAGCGGAAGCAAAAAGAAATAGTTCGCATGCAAATGCACATGACGACCCCCATGGACATTGGTACCGAACAATCTGGACCTTTCGGAGAAGGGCAAATGTTTTCTCTCAAGCCTATCAACCGGACTGGCGCAGTAGCAAACATAACCAGTGGTAAAATGGTTAATGTTGAAAGTGAGGACGAAGAGGAATCAGCGACCATCGATGAAGAATCCGATGAAGAGGAGGACCGTTTAGAGCGTGAGTTAGATGCTATGTATGAAAGATATCAAGCTAATCGGGAGGAGCGAGATGCAAAACTGCGTGCTAAAAGAGCCCGCAAGGACTTTGAAGCAGAGGAGTGGGAAGGGATATCCGATTTCGAGAAAGAAGGCGATGAGGACACAGATAATGATGCTCCTATATTGGTCCCACGACCAAGCGTTGACAACAAAGGTTTGTCCAACAAGGCCGCAATGTTTTTCGATCAAGATATATTTCAGGGATTAGGAGACCTAGGTGGAGAGGACGATGAGCAGGATGATGGCGAGGGCCGCCAAGATGGAGATGACATTGCGGCTCCCGAGCAAGATAACATTGTATCAGATGAAGGGGATTATTCCGATGCTTCAGAGAGCAGCGATGATGTTCCCACAACCCAAGAAAAGCCCAAGCTCAACAATAAACAAACTGAGAAAAGGGGTTCCAAACATGAAAAGGCCGCGAAAGACAATAATATCTCCCCTGGTTTTGAAGAAGAGCAACAAGATCCTCGGAAGAAAAATGGACAACTTGGTGAGCTCTCTTCCCCAGACCTGTACCAAGTATTGAGAAATTTTAATACTAACTATCCCCTCCAAGATATCGACATAATAACAGCTGAAGCTATGACCCTCGCCCAACAAATCGTTACTGGCGAAAAAACATCCCATGATGTCGTCGACGACGGCTTCAACAAATACACCTTCCGCGACACCTATGGGCTCCCGGAATGGTTCCTCGACGATGAGTGCAGGCACTCCAAACCACAGCAACCCATAACTGCCGCTGCAGCGGCCGCAATCCGCGAAAAGCTTCGCGCCATAAACGCACGCCCCATCAAGAAGGTGCAGGAAGCCAAGGGTCGCAAGAAATTCAAGGCTGCGAAGCGGTTGGAGAAACTGCGCAAGAAATCTGCACTGCTAGCTGAAGACGAGGCTATGAGTGAAAAGGATAAGGCGCAGACGATCGCGCGGATGATGAGTCGGGCGCTGAAGAAGAAGCCAAAGCAGAGTGTGAAGCTTGTTGTGGCCAAGGGATCTAACAAGGGTATTGCTGGTAGGCCAAAAGGCGTGAAGGGGAGGTATAAGATTGTCGATGCGAGAATGAAGAAGGATGTTAGAGCGGAGAAGAGGCTGGCGAAGAAGAAGAAGAAACATTGAGTATTCTTGTCGTTTTTCTAAGTTTAGGTGGTGACAAATGAAACGCGTTGCTAATATTTATATTGTGCATGTAAGTAACTTCAGGGAGGAATCCTGGATATAGGTTAGATGAAATATAAAATAAGATATGTTAATTTATATTCTGGCTTGAGTTTAAGTATGTTGTCTTGCAATATGCATTCTACACTGGTGGGTTGGCTACTCATGCAATATTTATTCTGTCCATCCCGACTGCGCCCCCCCCATACACCCAAAACATATAATATGCTCGTTTCATCCATCCATCCATTCGTTGTCCATTCTGCAAAGATCATTACGTAGAATAGATCAAATGAAAAAGATAGAAAAGGGAAAGAAAAAGACAAAGAACAATAAATACATGGACACCACCCTTTTCCTTCCTGTAACATTGCGCTCAAAGATACCTCTCTTATGTTATCTCCCGCCTTCCCTCGTATCCCAGGGTCTTCCAGTCCAACTCCACCTCACCCTGCACAATACGTACTCTCCCCCCCTTCAAAAGCTTTCCAGATGAGCGGCTCTCGACGGACGCAGCGGAAAGTGTGATGATGATGCGTGTCATGATGCTAGGCAAATCGCTCCGTGTTCGAGATACTGTTAGTGACCAGGGACACGCCTCTTTGCTAGTGCAACCGCCTAATAAGTCCATGATTTGAGTCGTAGGTTTCGCTGGCATTTCGTTTGAGCGGGTTTTCCATGTTATACCCAAATTGTTGATTCCCGAAATTTCTATCCAGCTTTCTATCATCTACACCACATAGAAATGAAAGAGAAATGAAAATAAGATATTTATGTATACCACTTTTCCAGAATGAGTTTTTAGAAAAAGAAAAAGATATAGATAGAACATAAATTCCATGGCCTCTAAGATCACTTGAAGCAAAACTTTCCAAACATTGCTTTCATTGCATCAGTCCTCCTTTGCCCCCTCATGATGAACCACCAAGAAAGAAACGAACATGACAGTCGCTCCAACCCAATATAGCGCGCTAGAGTACTGTCCCTGGATGAAAATCTGCGCCACAAGCGAGAGCGGGATGGTCAGACTGAGACCAATAGTGACCACCAAGGGTGTTGTTAGAAGCAATGCATACGCCCAGAGGATGTCGGAGACGAGTGAGACAACGGAATTTAGCTGGTACATAAGAGTTAGCGCTTAACTTGTTCACAGAGACTGGCACGAAAATGAGAAGAATCAAGAAAATGAAAGAAACATACAATTACAATTAACCATACCCGCCCCGTGGGCGGTAGTTGGAACTTCTCCCACCCCGCCAGATGCAACGCAACTAGAACCGGCCACAGCAGCACCATATTGATCAACCCCACCAACCCGAAAAACAGCACCATGTTAACCCGACTCTCATTCCCTATTTGCTTCTTCATCACGATCGTATACACGCCGTACAGTATGGCGCTGAAGGCAGCCATGGCGTCCCCAATAGCGATCTCACCCGTTGACTTGTGCGGGAAGGAGCCGCGGTTTTCATCATTGTTGCCTGATAGGTCGACGCGGGAGATTAGGATGATTCCTGTTAGCGAAGCCAGGACGCCGAGCAGTTTGCGGAGGGTGAATATCTCGACGCCGATTACGGTGCCGAATATCAGGGTCCAGACCCCTAGGGGAAATGGGAAATCAGTGGATTGGTAACATGTAGAGGATGGTGAGAGGGGTAACTGGGAGGAGAGTAGAAGGTATCAGATATATAGCAGTCAATATAAAGCGTACCACTTGTGGATGTCAATATCGTCGTGCTTCCGACGGTTGTAAATTGCAAGCAAGCTAGGGCAAAGTAGTTCGCCTTTGGGTTATCAATGTCAGTAATTGAACATAGTACGAAAAAATACTCCGAAACAAAGGTCTGGAAGGTATAAGTTTTCCGCGTACCAAAAACTAAACATGCCAGTTAGCAATCGATTGCTTCTAAACAAAACATCCATTAATGGAGACGCGAGAGGGGGTTTGTCATCCTTACCCACACCAAACAAAACTTCAAGCTCAATCTCGCAGTGGCTTTAAATTCCAGCTTCTCTGGCATCGGGTCAATCTTATTGTCGTCACCCGTCTCGTCATCGGCCCCACATAACTGATGGTACCTATCTACCGGTCCAGCATCGGCGCTGGCATCAACGTGATCATCCGGCGATAAGAGCGGGCGGGATCCGTCCGTTGTCTCATGGGAATCAAGCTGGTCAAGCAGGGTTCGAAACGAGGTAGCCTTGGACAACTTCCCAGCCCTCCATAGGCTAAATATCCTTTGCCCGAGGATTACGAAGAGGGGGATGATGAAGAAGGAAGTATTGAGGTATGTGACGAAGAACGGTTTGGAGTAGGTGTTGTCTGCTAATATAGTCTGCAAGAAGAGTGAGAGAGTTAGATTCCAAATATTTTCTTAGAGTAGATGTCGAATTGAGACCTTGAAAAATATAACTCCTGAAATAGTGCCTTTCAACCCAGTAACTATTTCAAGATTCAATTCAATTCAATTCAATCCAAGAGAAAAGGACAAAAAAAAAAAAAAAAAAACCAACGTGATGTAACTCACACTGGCCAAGAAATTAGAAGACGTCCACAGCACAACCACGATCAACAGCAATGTGATCCCCAGCGTCCGTCTTGCGATTCCTAAGGGTAACCGGGAGGAGCCAGTATCACTCCGTTTCCAGTCAGAATTCTCCGATCTTGACCTAGATCCAGATGGTAGAGAAGACGTGATGCTTCTCGAATGTTCATCGTTGACCTGCATGTCCTCAAAGGAGCGACGATAGTGCTGCTGCTGCTGCTGTTGCTGCTGCTGCTGATCGTCTCCGTCGTCCCCTAGCCGCGGCGAAGACATATTGTGGTTGGGAAGTTCTTCCAGCCCTTCTGTCCAAGAGGGTTCGAAGGAGTAGGAGGAGGATAGCCTCTAGGAATATATGTATTAATTGTTAATTCGGGGGCGCTTTCAACAGCACGGAGAGAGACAAGCTTATTATGGTTTGTGCTGGCTGTTTGTGGGACGCGTGTCATGGGTGAAGATGTAACGCTGAGGCATAGTGAGCAAGCAATAAGGGGGGTAAGGGGCGGGGATGATTTCTCTCTCGAAGAGAGATGGGGCATCCGGCTTAAGCTGTGCAATCCGTTTTGCTGAGCTCTGCATCAAGTGTGCACGGGGATGGCGGTCGTTGGAAGGTTGGAAGTAGTGCTGGAAGCTGCCTGGTTCCCTGGTCAGCAGCAGTGTATCCATGGATGACATTCGATGTTGGTGGTTGGGTTGTTCTAGGTGTCCGAGGCTAGCGCGGAATGGCCTTGGGGAACTTGGGGATGAACCAGGTGGTTGTACTACCTTAAACTAGTTAGGTTACTTAGTTAGGGGCTTGACCTTATCTAATCTGATTGACCAACGGATCTTGGAGCCGAGGCTCGTTCCATAAATAATAACTCGGGAAAGGGGAAGTGCAACCGGTTTAATTTTAAGCTGCGGGTGGGTGTGATCCTTCCTATTTTCGGCCCCGCGATTTCGCAATGCTCAGGGTATGTAGTATTATTACCCCACACCCTATCGGTTAAGACAAGCACAAGAATTTCTAGATACTCTCTCTCTCTCTCTCGCTCGGTCACGTAAAACTTACATATTATGATTATTATTTATTCTTTCTTGGGTATGCAGTCAGAGACTATGACAGCCCCAATATGAGGGTTTCAACCTGATGTAAGTCTCAGGGAGCCCTTAGGGCCTGTATCATCGTCGCTGGACAACTGACCTACCTTATACTAACTAGGAAAAAGGCTTAAAAAACACAGGTGCAGCAACTAGTTAAATCATCGATACAACAAAAAATCAATAGAAACATGTTGAATGTGTCCTGATCCTGTCAATCATGAATCATTTCTATTCGCCAGCTACCCTCCTCTTGTGTTAAAAATGTCATTTTGGTGAAGGTGGGATTTGAACTGACAACCTTGCGTCTTGGCAGGAATGCTCCCCAACTTCCAGTGCATACTTGCAGGGCCTTCTGTAGATGACGCTTACCACCTCCATAATAAAACTGACAGGACTATGAACAATTCTTGCAGCAATCGCTCAAAACCATGCCTGAGACCCTACATACATACAGAATAAAATAAAAATAAAAAAAAATAAAAATAAAAACAGATACCAACAAACAAACAGGAAGTCCGTGTGCTTAGCCCTCTAGTAGCATACGACAAATCCATCTAACCTGTGAAAATTTCACGGCAGGGGGAGACTAAGGGCAAAGGAAAATGAAGGAAAAAGGGGAAGTGTCATATTTAGTCAAATATTGATGTCAGGCCCTCAAGGGAACAACCAGCAAACAAACCCAATTTAACCATGGCAGCCAATGAGGGGTGAGAAATTGGAAAATATTGAGTGGTGGAAAAGTTAAGAATAGCAATACTGAAGTGCTAAGAAACAATGCTGATAACACTGACTTAGAAAGGGAAGAAAAAGGGGTTCAAACCGATGCCTAGCTAAGGAAAAGATGAGAAATGTCCCCACTCAACAAATGCCTGGGCCTCCTTCCACATCTCAGACTCAGACACAAACACATGCGCTTCCAAGGAGGTCTCGGGACGTGAAAGAATTTCCAATGGATGGTTCCGCAGCACAGGTAAATGACAGTCTAAGTTATTAAACATGGGGTATGGACAGCGTAGGATCAACCACAACAAAAGAAATGAAAAAGAAAAAGGAAAAGGAAAGTGAAAACAATCGTATGTTAACAAGCACAGCCGTCACGGTCGTTATCAAGGTGGATGTTAATGGGATCAGCAAAATCTCCGCTATACTCTTCCGACTCCTCTTGTACAAGAGCACTCTTCGCGATTTCTATTTCAAAAGAGAAACATGTTAATCTATAGGCAGATAGACCAATATCAAGATATCCCTTAAAAGCATACCTTCAAATGCCTGCTCGACATTAATCGCCTCCTTGGCACTAGTCTCAAAGTAGGGAATATTCCCCTTGGACTGGCAATACGTCGCGGCCCGTTTTGGTGATATCATTCTTTTGCTCTCTTCTACATCGATCTTGTTCCCCAGCACAACCTATTCGCACCCATCAGAGTAAGCGCACAGCCATAACCAAATCAACCATAGTGACGGATAGAATCGACGGATTAAGAGGTAACTTCGAATCCTTACAAATGGAAAACTCTCAGGGTCCCTCGGGCTCGCTTGGACGAGGAATTCATCCCGCCAGCTATCCAGCGTCTCAAAGCTCTTGGAATTATTAACGTCGTATACCAGCACGCAACAATCGGCTCCGCGGTAAAAGGCTACGCCTAGTGACTGAAATCGTTCTTGTCCTGCGGTATCCCAAAGCTGGATTCGGCAGACAGAAATGGAAATGTCAGCATCTGTTATTCCCTCTCAAGGAATTGCCCTCCTCCTCCTCCTCCTCCTCCTCCTCATCGTCATCCTCCTCATTTCTGGTTTAAATTCAGATATGATGCCAAAGGCCTAACATACTTGCAGGGTTACCAGTCGGTCATCCACCAAGACGTCTTTTGTCAGATAATCCGCGCCGATTGTTGCTTTGTAACTTGAACTATATTTTTTATTCACCTGTGGTATTTTCGCAAAATAGAAGAGTTAGCTTGCCTGTGATATCTCATCACCCACGAGTATCGTATATCCTTCGGTATGCGGGATTCAAATGCACAGAAAACTGGTTGGACCGACATATTGGTTCATCAGACTCGTCTTTCCGACACCGCTATCCCCAAGGACGATAACCTAAATCCAAAGAACGGCAATATAATAAGCAGGGGTCACTTTGATTAGGTAGATTCAGGACATGACTCTGGGTTGGGGAGGCGGCCACCGACCTTCAAAAGGAGCTTCTTCCGGGTAGCCATGCTAGCAACGAAATCAATCAGGTTAGAGCCTGGGAGGTAGAGGATGAACAGAGAAGCAGGAGCAGTCTCTTGTTATCTGTGAGCAAGCCGCAGGGGCTGTAGAACAGTCCCGGGGCTTTGTCGTAAGCAGGCGTGGACCTTGGTTGGAAGTGGCTTGTCGTTCACCGGGAAGAGGAAAGTGAAGCGGGACCCGTCGATATGAAAATTAATGAATGAATGTGCAGCGAAGCCCGAGAAATAGATCCTGCAATGCAAGTGAGACCGGAAGTGGGATGTTGGTGGCGAGAGAGCAGATGAGACCGGAAGTGAGATGGTTGATAACCCAGGGGTGTTGAGAGTTGCGGTAACACGGTGCGCCAGCCCGCGAACTTTTAGCTATTTTGGGACTGGCGGTGATGCTGTTCTCGAGACGGGCGGTGAGAACAGGCAATGACGATATTGCCGCACAGCCACAGCTTCTGCGGGAGTTATGTGGAGTAACGTGGAGTATGAATACAGATGTTGAGGTGCTCTCAAGCGCTGTGGGACCAAACTACAGAGTTCATACAGAAGGTGGACAGGTGTGTATTGTATGAATTGGGTTTTCTTGAGAGCTGTGATGATGTCCTCTTGCTTGGTGTCTGCTTGGAGGGGAAATATTTAGTTAACTACTTATCTCATCTCCTTGGGTTGACATTGTCGACAACAGCCTGTTTACCCTCCATGGGACTCGACCTCCAATCAACTATAACCAATCATATAGTTATTTTAGTTCAAGAATTCACCCTTAGACACTTCCCATATTGTATTCCTACTGCATATTGAGCATCTAAATTCCCCTCATCCAACAATGCGCCTGACACTGTTCCATTCTGAAACTACCCCCCGGCCCTAACTAGCACCTCCAGCAGTCGATGCTCAACACATACAGCACAATCCAACCCAAAGCCAGATGATGAAACAATGTCCAACTGGCGAGAAGAATACTTCTTAGCTCTAGGAGTCAGAGATGCACGCGAGCAAGCAAATGCAGCTGTATATGATGCCTGTATGTGTGCACTGTCACCTTCCCCGCCCGCAAAGAGCAGACATCACCATCTAAAACCCATCATCCCCTATAGGTGACAATCCTCATTAACGTATGCTGAAAATATGCAGATACCCGCCTAGCAGATCGTACTAGCAGTCTGCATACCGACACTCCCGCCCCCGGGGTTCCTCCATCTGCCTCCCACACAACCGGCTCCCCAGCAGCCAACAGAAAGCCTACCCCTCCATCCAAAACCCAACTTGGAACAAACACACCCTTGCACTATGATCAACTACCTGCCGCGGTACGACAAGATCTTGCTGAAGCTCAACGCTCGCGCACAGAGTTGCTAGATAAACTTTCCAGGGCCACCACGGAGCTGGAGAAGTTGAAGAAGAAAACGAGGGCGGACACACGGAGGATTGAGATGTTGGTTGGGGAGAGGGCGCAGTTGATGACCAGGGTTAAAGATCGGGATGAGGAGTTGAGGGGGAAGGCGAAGCTGTTGGATGTACGTGTGCATTTCCTTTTTCCTTTTTCTTTTTTTCTTTTTTTCTTTTTCTTTTTTTTTTTTTCTTTTGTTGTTGTATTTTTACTCCTACCGTTGCTACCAATTTCATGTTTTGGCTTTGGTAGCTCTTGAAAGGGGGAGTGATGTATGCTTTACGTATATACTGACAGCCCTTTTAGAATCTACAATCTGAGCTCGTATCGCTGAATTTGCAGTTTAATATGGCGGAGGAACGGTCGAAGAAGTTAGAGACGGAGAATAAGGAATTGGTTGATAGATGGATGGCGAGAATGGGACAAGAGGCGGAGGCTATGAATAAGGCGTCAAAATATTCTTGATATGCCTGTTCTTGGGTCCTGTTGGATACGTTGCAATACACATCTCACATCAACAAATGAGGAAAACGAGAATTGGAGCTGGTTATGGAATAATTACATGCAGTGCATGGCGAGAGGTATTGCACTCCGCATGGCCCTCACAACGAACTGAAACGAAATGATGGGGTGGATGATGGTATTACATGCCAATTTTTTTTCTTTCTTTTTATCGTTATTGTTGTTATTGTTTTCATCCGGAGGTGTTTATACCAGGAATATTTGATTTAGGCATGCACTGCTGGCGCATCATTGGTATATAAATCGGGGAACCGATATTCACTTGGATTCGTGGTATAGGGATTTTCTATATTTCAAAACAAAGGAAGCAATCAAAAAGTTCATGAAGTCTTGCATCGCACTCGAGAGGATATCATGTCAAGCAAAAATACCTACTCCATCCCACACCTCCTCCAGCGCGAAGACTTCCCTGTCATTTCAAAGACACCAAATATATACCAAGAGGAAACCAAAAAAGGAGGGCAATAACCAAGGAGGAGGGAAGGGCCAAGAAGAAAAGTAAAAATAGAAAAAGAAATGAAAATAAAAGGGGGGAAATAAAGCCGGAAAAGGTATCATGTAATCAGAAAACAGAGAAACCAAGACACGACAACATCGAATCGCACCATCGACTTATCCCTCCAGCAACTAATCTAATCCGATGCAAAAGAGAAGAAAAATAAATAAAACGCCCGGGATGCAGAAATTCCAAGCAGGCCAATTCCACTCTCAATTCTCCCCATCCATGAAAGCATTGGCTAGCTTCTAAAAGAGCGCTACATGCGCCATCCAGGTCATAAATGGTATCAAATCAACCATCATTCAATGATTCTCCACAAATGCCTTAAGCCTCGAACTATCTTTGGTCGCAATAAAATACGTACCCCCTGCATTCGTCCAACTAACACTATCCGACCAGTAATTCTTCTGCTGAACCGACAACAGATTAATCGGCGAATTCAAATTGCGCGCCTGAATCCGATGGCCCGCAGGAACAAACGACTTCAACGACACAATCTGACAGCCCTCCTTCATGTAGAGAAAGTGATTGATGATCTCGTTATTCAGCTGCGGCGTGAAAGCCTGGTTATTGATAAGCACCACATCAGTTCTATGCAGGGTCTCGATGATGCTTTCCTGCGTCAGGAAAGAGCCGCGGATCAGCCGGACGGCGCCAACAGCAAGACCCCAGAGCCGACAGCGCGCTTCAAATTCCCGCGCCTGCATCTCCGCCACGTCGCAGGCATTCTGCATAACTTCACACCCCCAGCTCTCACAGCCAATTTCCAACGCGGCTTGTAATACGACGTTACCAACCCCGGAACCTAGGTCGACAAATACCTGGCTGGACTTTAGCTTGGTCTGCTTGAAGATGTCGGAGATGAAGCGGGGTAGGAGTTCGCCGTAGACGTTATCTGTGCCGTTCTCGTATTGGCGGAGGGATTCTACGCGGGGGGAGACCGTGCGGGCGTAGGTTTGGGTCAGGATTCGTTCGACTAGGGGGAGGGGTATTGTATGGGTTTTATCGAGGTGTTTGGCGATGGAGCCGTTGGTTCGGAGGAAGTTGATGGTTTCGTTGTACTCGTCGATTGCTTCTTTGAACTCTGTTTCGGAGGCATGGGCTAAGGCTCGCCTGAAGCGGCGGTTGATGCCCGTGGTCTCGTTGGTGAAAAGATGGATATATTCTTCTGCTATGTAGTTTTGTGATACGATGTCGACTACATGGACTATGTCGTCCAAGGGTTTAAACCCGTCTTTTCCTCGGGGTACGACGAGTTGGTATCTAGATTAAAAGCAACGGTTAAAGATAGCTCATTAGCAAACGAATAGGAATAAAGCTGGTTCAGTCCCCCCGCCAGCTGAAATATAACTCACTCTTCACCCTGAGATGTGCCAGGATATTGCAATCGAATCGTAACAGGCCCTGCTGCTGAAGCTACTGCCTCAGTGACGGTGTCACCATCAAAGGCACGCTTGAGCCGGTCCCCGTTTATCCACGGAGGTGATGTTAGCCGCATGCACGAATTCAATCATCTCCTTCTTCCCATCTTCCGAAAACGCAACCGTCGACCGAATCCGACGTTGCAGATCCGGCTCCGCACTGATACTGAATTTAGCCCGCTTGCGAATCTCAAACGAAGAAACGTCATCGTCATCGCTCTCGTCACTGCTGGTCAACAGCTTCTGTATAGGCAGTGGTCTCTTTCGGCCTCTCGATTTTGTGCTCAAACGAGATGTGGAATCTTGGCGGCGGGATGGGGTGGGATCACTAGCGACAGAAGTTGCGCGGACGGAATTCGGCGGGAGCTTAATGCTGGCTGGGAGCGCACGATCGGGATGGCGGCGAGGATTAGGCTGAGAGGTCGACTTCGACGTTGGTCGATCTGATGCGGCGGACGAAGTTCGGAGAGGGGAGGATTTTGTTGTCGTTTCGACTTTTCGAATCTGGGTCTGTTTGGGTTGGATAGCTATGCTTCCCCTCTGCTGGAGATGGTCGAAAAAACCCATGCCCTCGGTTATTATTACTATTATTTTTATTATTTTTATTATTTTTGAATGGATCGACTTATAAATCTGGTTTCTGGTTTCTGTTTTCTTTATCTTTTTCTTTTCTTTTTTTCTTTTTTTTTTTTTTTTTGGATTTTGCGGGTTAGAACGAGCGGTAGTATAGATAGGAGTCTAACCAAATGTAATGTGACGCTTTTGGAGAAATGATAATACAATGTGCTAAAGAAGGAGAAATGGCTAAATGGCGAGGGAATGTATGATATCTATAAAAATGCTACTCGTGGTCTCCGTTGGAGATGGACCTTGCAAGAAAACGGCTATTGATGCATATCACGGAGCGCCGAGAAAATGAAAGCCTTAGGAAGCCGGGGCAGCCGGGGCAACGGGATTGATTAATCAGCAAACTATGGGCGTGGGACGAAATCCAGTTGTATGTGTATGGTAACTGCGGAAACCTCGTATAATTTCGATCGGAACTGTACAAAAATCTTGATCAAGAAATCAAAATACCAAGAAGCAATTCTCCACCAGAAAGACCTTCTCCATATTTTAATACGAGACTGAAGTTGAGCTTCTGGGCTTTCACTGACAACCCAACTTGAAATACAGATACACAAGAACAACCCAAGTAAAAAGTAATAATACCAAGTATTGCAATAAGGGTTTGTCCACTAACCAAGAAAGCAAAACGGTACACAACCCATCATGTTGTAGAACAAATTAGAATGAGTAATGATGATAAAAGATACAGAGCGAAAGGACAAGAAGGGTATCAATTTCCAATAAAAATGGTGGGAGGAAGAGATGTATTAACCAGTCAAAAAGCAGATGTAGAAGTCAACAAGAAAACTTGCCAGCCTGAGACAGAAGAGCTCCCTAACACAAACAAGTACAGATTGCCTGAGTGTTTTAATATATATAGATGAAATGGGTTTGGAATTAGAATAAGTAGTGATATGCTGTGTTTCAACAATGACCCAGCAGTTCAGCAACAATAGAAAGAATGGGAAAGCTGATAAGAGTGTGAGAGACACAAATCCTTCAAACCAACACTATATACCTGAGATATGGGATTTTTAACAGGTGGTAATTGTGAATAAGACACACTGTTGAAGCAGCTGATGAACGAAGGAGATATTATGAGTAGTAAGTGCGGATGTAGCTTAACCAGTAAAAGGGAGGGGGAAAAAATAAAAGAGCAGTATGCAAATTTATGACGTGAGGTTTCAAGATGAAGAAGGCCCAGCAATAGCAGGGCCAGCTGTATATTTTGACGTGCTACCTTGGCGCTTAGCCAGTAAGCTTTTGAGCGCACCAAGCCATTTGGCCAGGGCTTCTTCATCTGGCGCGCAGAAACGATAGGTCTTATCTTCCGCAATAATCTGGAGACAAAAGTTCTTAGATCGAGAAATAGGATCAATTTCCGCAGCGTTGATGACCTGTTCCATCGATATGATTTTCACAGCGGCGTACTCCTGTTCATCCTTGTAGAAAAATATATTTGTCGGTCGAAGGACAACCCAGAGCTTCTTCCACTGCCGGACTCCCTTTTCGCTTTTGAGACAGAGGAGGTAGCCATGGCATATCACGCGTTCCAGGTTCAAGTTATTAAGTACTCCATCACCCAGCTGGCTTGTGTTCCGTGGCAGCGACGGAGAACGGTCTAAGGGCGCAGAGGGGGATTGGGACGTCCGATCGTGTCGGGGTAAGGAAACTGTGGAGCGGTGTGGAGCGGTGCTCGCAATGGCATCAGAGAAGTCTGAACAGGATGCTACTTCGTTCCCGGAGTAGTCTTGCGAGTGCGAAGGCTTCCGTGCCTGCCGATTGCCGGAACGGAGGGATGGGATGTCATGTTGGCTAGATGTCGCTCTATGACCATCGCATTCAGTTTCACTCGCGCTATCAACCGCTTCTCCTCTTTTCCTGGTTTCAGCCACGTCGTATCCCTTAAGTGAGTCTGCATCATCCGAGCAGCTTTCGTTGCGTATGCACTCAACCCAGCTCTCTGCATCACTCTCGGATAGAGCTTGAAATCGGTGATTCTTGGATGGGGAAAAGATGCCAAACACATGTTGACGTTTTGACTTTGTAGCCTTCACTAAGGCAACCGCCGTCACGTCGGACAGGTCGATCGACAGTTGAAGTTCAGCTTCTTCTGAATCTTTATAGAGTGAAAGAAGGTTGGGTCGTAGCACCAGATATCCAGGTTTCCACGATGCTTTGAATGCCTGCAGAATAGTTGTACTATTATTAGCTTCTTCCCCCCCTTCCCCCCCCCACCCCCACACCCACGAAGTTGTTGTCATGGATCAAAATAGAAACGGGAAACAAACATGTTTGTTCTTTGATCGCCTCATCACCCTCCCTCTTTTTAAGACCTGATCAAACGCAAAACTTCCATTATCAGTGACTGGGGAGAAGGTATCCAGATTCAGATGCCCTTTGCGAGCGGGGACGGGATTTGGTGGTTGAGCTTCCCTCGACACGCGGGTTGAGCCCACAATATCACTGTCGATCCGTAACATCATAAAAAGTATAGAAAGACAAAACAAAAGAAAATGGTGACTATTGAAATGAGTTTTCTGGACGGTAGCTAGGTTTGGAGAGGAGTTAAATGGAGGGGGTCCAGTTGCGTGGAATAGAGGGTCACAACGGGGCAAATTATTATTTTTTTTATTTTTTTAATTTTTTTAATTTTTTATTTATTTTTTTTTTTTATAAAAAAAAATGGTGGTGGCGATCGAATATCAATTGCGATTGTGTATTGGCCAAGAGTAGGGCAAAGCCGGCACTTTAAGAGGCGAAAAGATGAAGAGGATGCCAGAGTCATTATTCTGTTGACAGAGATCAAGGTGGACATTAACATTGTTGTTTTGTCGCAGGTGAGCTGATCAGGAAAAAAGAGGCATAAACTTTAGTTGGTGAGTAGGCGGGCTTGGCGCTACAGAGGCTCCCCCCCCTTTTCTTATACCAGGCCTGGCCTGTATTCAGATGGTACAAGGGAAATGGAGGGAAAAAGAATAAAGAAAGACAAAACAAAAGGAGCTGAAAAGGAGATGGGCTGTTTGTGACATACTACCAAATGGAGTATTTTTTAACATTTGAGAGCCATTCGAACTAAACTCTTGTTCTCTTTTTAGCTCTGAGATACCGATGGTAAAATTGGCCTTGCTGATGTGCTGTAGCGAATGGAATAACATTACGGTATACCTAACTGCTGATTAAAACGTATGTGTGTATAAAATGAGCTTGACATTACAGAGTCAACATCAGCATAACCCAGCTCACAAACTTCGTGGCACATAGGTTGATAAGATATTATTCTGTAAGTTTAAACGGCATCTGGGGTCTCCCATGTAGGACAGTGAAATAACAGGGGTTCTTCCTTAAATATCTATCAGTGGCATGTTGCGGACCTTACTTTATTCCATCAATGGATATTTTGTATCATTGTGCACACAGCCAGGAATCAGATGGATGCATGCTCCATTTATAGTAATCTCTGGATCCCATAGAGCCGGAGCTGAGGAACGGAGCTTTTCATATTGCAATAGGCTGGGCAGCTGGGGTAATGGAGAGATAAAAATTGGCCAAGAAGGCCAGATAATACTCATCAGGAGATGGCATTGTATGGAGACAGAGAGCTACTGATATCAATACTGTTGGAATTACTGATAAAAAATGTTTGCAGAAGCTATTGATAGACATAAAGACGGAGTGTTACAGAAATCGTTACGCGTTGCAGCAGCACATGATGTAATCATAATACAAAAATACGTATCCATGAGAATGGTACGAACGACACAAGTGCGGACTCGTGTTAATTTAGGTATTGTACTGTTCTGTATATGGTACAGTGATACATCAGAGAACTTTTGCAGTTCAAGAACAAGTCAATGATGCCATAAGGCCGCGCCAAGCCCTGTAGAACGTCTCCCTGGCATTCTTTAATTTTACATCAAATACGGAGTCCTCGGTATGGTATTGGGTATTTGAGACCAAGAGACTTATCTCCAGAGTAGACAGAGACTGACCTGACAGCATGAAACTCTATGGATACCTAGGTAGCTTTAGCTGGATGTATGGAATACCCCGTAGACCTGTCTACAAATTTTCTGTAACCAAGGGCATATGCATACCATGGTGGTTGCAATGCTTCCGAGTCCATCCTCTGTTTTTAGTTAGTGCAGTCTTGGCGGTATCTCCCTTCCTCCCGTCAAAACGTCTGGTTTCGAGCCCTCAAACCAACTCAACTCAACTTCTCATCGTCTCTTGCAACACCCTGGCACCCATAGAGTCCTCCTCTCTGCTGACAAACCTCCAAACCTCCCACTCTCTCATGATCACCGGTAAGCTCATTTTAAGCTGTATCGTGTTAAATGGTTGTTCCATTGAGTGAGATTCCTGTGCACGCCTGACCACACACGCCGCGTTCAACGGAGTCAGCAATCTGCTTACATAGGGGACTTTTTCTTTTCCCAGTCGCTCGTTTCCATCCAAGTTACCTCGCTTTTCACCTTTCCCTCCCTTTGGCTGCGGCTTGTTGAAAAATTCAGGGCCTACGAATCCCCATACTGTGAATTAATCGTGGTGGTGGGTGTGTTTTCTTCGCTTCTGTGAGGCTGGCTTCTTGGGGCCGTCCAGGAGGTCAAATAAAACCATCCGACCTCCTTTATCCTCCTCTCCATCCTACCCCCGAATTTTCTCGATCTCCCAATCCGCGCCCATGGAGTTTGTACAACGTCTCACAAAGCGAGTGCCATACTTGCCGGAGGCGCCTTTCGACCATGTGTCGAACGAAAAGAGCGCCATATTAATTCCAAGATTCGCCTTTTTCAAACGACGAATACGACTGCGAAGAAACTCCACCATTTCAATTCCACTGGGATTCGTTTTGCTATTCCCTTGTATTGTAATAATACTCATTGTTCTTCTCATTGTTACTCACCCTTCTTCTCCGGGTCGTATTTTGGTGCCAGCTGGGACACCTCCATCTATCAGGTTTGTCTTAATAATTTATATCCTTTATTTTTTCAAGGCCAACACATTCGTAGGATTTCTGTCGCAGATGCTAATCGCCATCACCTCTCTACAGAAAAATTAGCGAAAAACATGACAAAGTGTTCGCTACCGGTTGTCTTGAAATGGACACCAGCACTCCAAGAGCAAATGCAGCTTTCGTCGTCTTAGCAAGAAACAGGGAACTGGAAGGTGTCATTCAATCCATCAAATCTATCGAACGGCATTTCAACCGATTCTATAACTATCCGTACGTCTTTCTTAATGACGGAGATTTCGACCAGACCTTCAAGGACACTGTCTCCAACTATACCAGTGCCCCCTCAGAGTTTGGTAAAATCGATCCTTCTATGTGGGGATTTCCCGATTGGGTCGACCCCGAAGTGGCTAGGGAAGGAATTAGGAAGCAAGGAGATGCTGCTATCATGTATGGTGGTATGGAGAGTTACCACCATATGTGTCGATTTTACTCCGGGTGAGCATCAAATACTACTTCACTGCCCTTTATTGAAGTTTCTGGGTCCTAATACGACTGTCAGGTTCTTTTACAAGCACGAATTGCTCATGAAGTATGAGTGGTACTGGCGTCTGGAACCAGATATCAAATATTTCTGCGACATCACCTAGTACGTACTGCTCCTCAATACTCCTCCCTTAATCCATAACTGTTATTAACGTGCATATCAGTGATCCATTCCTAAAAATGATTGAGCACAATAAAACCTACGGGTTTACAATTGCCGTCAAGGAGCTCAGAGAGACTGTTCCAAATATCTTCCGCTATGCGTCAGCCTACAAGAGAACCAACAATATCACCTCGCAAGGTCTCTGGGAGATGTTCCTAGAAGATCCCCCAGAACCGAAAGAGACTGTCAAAGACACCGCTAACGAAGCGCCATTGCCAGATGAGATATTGCAAACTCAACCGGGTGACAAAGGCATTAAAGACATCGACCCAGAGGCTATGGAGGGAGAGAAATATAACATGTGCCATTTCTGGAGCAACTTTGAAATCGCTCGACTCGACTGGTTCCGAAGCAAGGAGTATGAGGACTTTTTTACCATGATGGACAGAAGTGGCGGTTTCTGGATGGAACGAGTATGCTTAACACACTTAACCCCTCACTTATATTTTTGATTACAAGTTGCCAACTGTAGACTGACACCCGTATTTTCAGTGGGGTGACGCACCCATCCATTCCCTTGCGGCCGGTATCCTTCTGGCGCCCAAAGATATCCATTACTTCCGCGATTTCGGATATCGGCATACCACCATCCAGCATTGCCCAGCTAATGCCCCTGCCCGTCAACGGGATCGAATTCCTTTTCTTGAAATGACCACTGAAGATGAGAAGAAGCGCCAGGAGGAAGATGAATATTGGGATGTACCGGATACGCCGAAAGAAAACGGAGTTGGGTGCCGATGCAGGTGTGATACGGATATTGTGGACGTGGAAGGCAAACAAGGAAGTTGTCTGGCGGAATGGGTCGAAGTTGCTGGAGGCTGGGCTTCACCCTGAAACGATATATACGAAAACGGCCTTCTCCCTTTTATTATAATTGTTGGGAACCCTCGTTCGACTTCTCTCGTTCCTTGTTGCTGGCCAGACACAGACGGACCAGTTCCTTCATCTCCAATATGCGAGCATCCCTTGGTCACAATCTTCGGTGTTAAGAAATCATTCCCTTGCATGGGCTTTTCGACTATTACGGGAAAAGGCGTTGTTTTCTTCTTCCTCTTGTGTTCATCTTTTTTCATGCGATTCCTTGACGGTGTCTTTTGTTTTTGTCTTAAAATCCTTTCTGCAACAACTCAACAGTGTCGCATCTTCCACAAACTTCTTTTTTGGTGTGTCACTTGCCTGCCTTACCGGAACATTTCAAGTTGGATGCGTATCGCCATATGTCAACTTCATGCCTGCCTGCCAGTCTGCAACCTTCATTCATTTTTTTTTTTTTTTTATTTTGGACGCAAGGAGTGCTTCTTTCTCCCTCTACCCAGTCCACAGTGACCCAATCAGAACAAAGAAAAGAAACCAAGGTCACCATTGAGTGCTATCATATACTATTTACCACCTGCTCGACCACGTATGTCAAACCCCAGCTACCTAAAGCCTTACCATCAATTGGGCTCGATCTTTGTATGCAACGTGTCCTGGTCAGGACTTGACTCTATACGTACAGCCAGTGCCGGTCTCAAAGCTACGTCTTCCGCGCCAAATTTGGGACACAAAACAGGGGCCAATCGGCACAAAATACTAGGTAGTGCAAATTCCCCACACGAACCCCTTGGTACTGTTAAAGTTGGTGCAGACAATGAATGACGACTGTCCCAAATGTAAGGGGCTAGACTGGAAGCTAGGCTGGATGCAACATTGACATCATCTTCCTTTCTTAAAAGGCAGAAATGTTAGCACACACAGGCACCAAACATTATCTATTTCATCACTTCACCTTTTGTGTTTTAGCTTTGGAAGTTTTGGTTCTTCGTAAACCCCCTTTTTTTATATTTGCATTTTACTTTTTGTTCACGCACCTTCTCCGTGGTATGTCCTTTCCCCCCCCCCCCCCCCCCCCCCATTTCTGCTGAAGATGATTTTTTCACCCCTCCATGTATTTTTTTTCAAGAGCAAAAATACGATTATCGCCCGGAGAGCCCTCGATAAAGACTCCCAAGAACGGGAGATAGGATCGAGCACCTGGGATGCGCTGAGGCCTCCATGTTGTGAGGCCCCCGGTCGAGAGAGATAGCCTGAGCCGAGAGAAGAGACGGCGAGTCGATATGCGAGGGG